TCTACGCGCGCATTCAGGGTCCCACTGTCGCATACCTCATAAATAGTTATGAGACCATGAATCTAAACTGTCAAACCATTTGACATAACACATCGCGAAAAAATACACAATGACCTTGTAACAATTTAAGTCTCACGACAGTCGCAACTAACACGTTCATGACAACGGGCCCCAGTCGGCACTGCACCACGTTACCGCCAGTCATACAGACATACTGCGCAGTGAAGAGCAAACAACGGCTTGGCTGTGTGAACCGAGTGACCAGTGGAAAGCTAAAACCACCCGCATCTGTTCAACAGGTCGTAAGTCAAGCGGGCCGTCTTATAAATAGAAATTTTAGCCGGTGGTCAAAGTACTGCGGTGGGAAATGGGAAATGTCGTTACTCCGAACTACTCCTTATCATCCATATCATCAGGAGTAGATAATAGGGAATTCCCTATTATTCCCAATAATTCCCTATTATCTACTCAGGACTGATATCATCACACAACATGTTAGTATCATTACAGTTGGGACAGAATGGAGCATGAATCTTCATTGTATGTACTCATTGGAGTTTGGACACATGGCATACAAATCTTCATTGTACATCTGTAGTTTTTATAAGTGATGGTTAATTATAATGGTTGCATGTGAGGATAAGCGAGAGTGGAAAGGGTAGGAGGACAGGACAATAGAGAATGGAAAAGGGGAGAAAAGGAGAGATAGAGAAAAGAGAAAGAGAGGAGGAAAGAAAGAGAGAAGAGGATCTGTCAGCAGGCCAGCAGGGGATGATAGGAAGAGGATAATAATACTAGAAAAAGAGGGGCAGGAGAGAAGTAGAGAAGAGAAGGGGAGAGGAAAAAGAGGAGAAGGCCATTAGAGCAGCGCAGAAAGACAAATAACTAGATGGTCAAGCTACCAAACGAAACACTTAGTGAGTCACCTCACACATGAGAAAGTACTACAACTGCACGCACGGACGCACACACATATGTACACACGCATGCACGCATACACTCACACGCGCACGCACACGCACGCACGCATGCACGCACGCACACGCACACACACACACGCACACATGCACGCACATACTCACGCATGCACGCACACACACGCAAACCCACACACACACACAAACCCACGCACACGCGCCTTCTACTCACCAGATGGCGTTCTCTGCGAGATCTTTGGTCCCTGTGCTGCCCTCTGGGAGGAGTGGTGATTCGTACTTGAGCTGGGCGTCGCGTCGTCGCTACCCGGAGACGGTGTCGTACACGTGCCTGAGTGAGGGGGCGTGACGGACGCAGACCTGCCCAGCATCGTGTGAGGGGGCGTGATGGACGACGGCCGGCCCAGCAGCGGCGGCGACAGCGACATGTGGTCGTTCCACGGCGACGGTGGCTCCATCTTCATCTCGCCGCATGACGACAAACTCGACGTCCCCGGACTCGCGAGCGGCGGCGGCGTCAGCTCCGACGACGCGTAGTGCATGCTAGCGGCGCCGCCCTGGTGGCAGCCGGGCGAACCCGCCAGCATCTTGACCGACGGCGGCGACATTGCGGGTCGGTCGGAGCGCTGCTGCATCAGCGACGGTTGCCGGGCGATGCAGGGCGATCTTTGGTCTGCGGTGAAGCTCTGTAACTTGGCGGCGGCGGCGGCGGTGGCTGCGGTGGGGGGATGCGATGAGGTAGTCGCGGCGGGCGCGTGGTGACTGTTGCTGCCGTGGCCGTGCGCGCTGCCGGCGGCCATCATCATCGTCACGCCGCGGTGACACGACGACGCGTCCGCCGGCATCCGCGCGAGCTGCGGCGGCATGTGCGAGGGGGCGCCACCGCCGTACGCCATCGGCGTGTACGTGCTGCTGCACGCCGACATGGCCGCCGCCGTGCCTGGCTCGCACTTGATCTTCGCGGAGCGTGGGTAGCATTGCTGCACCATGTAGCTCGTCGCGGCGCTGCTCGCTGCATGGTTGCTGACGGAGGAGCCTGGGTCCATGACAGAAGACTTCTTCCGCCAACCGCTGCTAGCTGCGTATGCCCGCAAGCCTCCTGTGTAAGGCACACAATTTTCAAATTTCAGATTTTTCAAATTCATTTAATGTACAAAACTGCAAAACATACAGCTTATGATAATTATTTATATGTCGATAATACAGTGATATCAATAAAATGAAATCAAATGTGACAGAGTCATTTAAGCTGTATGTTTTGCAGTTTTGCACAATAAATGAATTTGAAAAATCTGAAATTTGAAAAAGTGTCAATTTGTCAAGTTGAAATTTGTCAGTGGATCAATACAAAAATAAAAGAAATTCTGACTAGCGTACAACATAAAGACAACATAAGCACAACATAAGTACAACAACATAAAGACACAGCGCCGAGGGTCACAGTGCTGCTCCCGTGAATATTGTCTCGTCTACCGTACGTGCCCAAAATGACTCTACTACTCTTTCATCGAGCGTAACCTTGATTACGTGACCAGCCCACCGCCCCACCAAGCCATCCTGATCGGGTAACACCCACTTACCCAAACCTACCCATCCACCCTGATGTAACAACACCCCTTTAAGTTACACATATAATCCTTCTACCCATCCACCCTGACATTGTAACACCACCACCCCAACCCCTCCCAAGCCACTCTGACATTGTAACACCACCACCCCAAAAACAAAGACATTGTAACCTTCTACCCCTCCCAAGCCACCCTGACATTGTAACACCACAACCCAACCCCTCCCAACCCACCCGGACATTGTAACACCCCCACCCCAATCCCTCCCACGCCACACTAACATTGTAACACCCCGCAACCCTCCAAGCCACGCCGCATTTGTAACACCCCCCGACCAACCTCCTCGGCCAAGCACCCTGAATTGTAAACACCCACCCACCTCCCAACGCACCCTGACTTGTAACACCCCCCCCCAACCCCTCCCAAGCCACCCTGACATTGTAACACTTCCAATCCAACCCCTCCCAAGCCACCCTGACATTGTAACACCCCAACCCCAACCCCTCCCATGCCACCATGACATTGTAACACCCCCACCCCAACCCCTTCCAAGCCACCCTGACATTGTAACACTGCCACTCCAAACCCTCCCAAGCCACTCTGACATCGTAACTTTCTACCCCTCACAAGCCACCCTGACATTGTAACACTGCCCTACAACTGCCAAGCCCCCCTGATCTCTGTACCTTCCTTCTACTACCAAATTCTACCAATCTCAATCAACTGCTCTTAGAGATATCCACAAGGAAATTCACACGTGACCCACCACTCGATAACTACCATAGAGAAGCCTGTTGCCTTATCTATGATTCCTCTATATGATGGTATTAAATTTGTTGATAATTCAGCAGGGAATAAATGCCGTTTACATCAAAGAAAAGGAGTGTGATTCGTGACTAATGACAATTTGCATATTATAGCAACTTATCAACTTAATATTTCAGTAAGCCGAACATGCAAACATTAATAATAAAGTACGTACGACACCAATTATATAATTAGGGACGGGGTAATCGGGGGTATATAGTCACTACAATTAACAATAAGATACACTTGCTTATTCACACTATTTTACATATTTAGTGCATTGTCGCTAGTTCAAAACAATTACTTTTAGTATACAGTGGTGTTAAGTAGCACTAATTAATATTAGCAACTAACTTGCTAGTTGAATATAGTACATATTAGAAAACAACCTAGTAGTAGTAGTTGATACTAATTAATATTTGCATTAGTCTGCTAGTTACTTAATATTGCCATTAATAGGGTATGTAATTATTATAATGTATCACTGGTAATAATGAGCTGCTAGAGGGCACTTTTAAACAAAGCTATACTCTGTTAAAACACTGATTGAGAACAAGGAGGTTAACACCTGTCTGACACACAAAGTTCTAATAGTGTCATTGACATTGTTATAGTCATAACTCACAATTCACCGTTATCTGGGTCAACACAGATGTTGCTGTTTCTAACTTCTATGAGGAGTAAAAGTAATAAAAGTCTAACACAAAGACTTCATGAGACACGGTTGAATGCATAGGTAGGACAAACTTAATTAAAATTCCTATTTTTTTCTCCCCAAGCCAGGATTGCAATGATTTGACTACTGGAGCTAATGGAGCTATTACAATAACAACCAGCAAGGCGGCAATTGAAAACGTGTTATTTGACGAATATTATATTGATTATTAGCAATCGAATTACCTTTGTGAATAGCAATTTTACGTTGATGGTAAAACCTCCTAATTTACACAATTACTATTAATATTATTATTATAATTACCTAGTGGACGAACCATAATAAACATGACAGTGACTGAATGATTGATTTATAATATAACTATAAGTTATAACTTCTGCGTATATATAGGGTTGGGCATTTAAGTACGCTGTTATTACATCGCGCGTAAAAATTGGTGACAGTCTATACGCCGGCGAGCGACGAGCAATGTAGGTCATAGCAGGAGTAATATCAACGTGCGGCAAACGCTGTCAATGAAACCACGGCCACAGATCAAACGATGTTTACAAAGCTCTCCACAACTGTCTGTCGAAATCGCTTCTACGTGCATACTTAACGAAGTCTAACTGAGCTACTGACCTGCGTTTATGATGCTCCTTGCGTTAGGCAACCAAACAAAACGAAATAAAGCGGCACATCATCGCAAACACCTACGACTGCTTCCAGAAAAAAATGGCGTGTACTAGGCCTACTTCCCATAATTCTTTGCGCAAATTACCGTAAAGTGTTGCATAAATTTACTGAATAGAGAAAATAGTGTGCATAGTATACTATAATATAGATAATTTGGCATTCTTTATTTGATCGCACGTGTAAATGAAGTTGTTAGCCAAGTCTTAGGATTTTAACCAGTTTCAATTTACTATTTAGTCATAGTTTGAGATTAAATTATACGCGGCATTGCACTGCCACTTCCACGCACTAACAGCGCAATCCACATCGGTCCCTTTTGTGAGTGCGTTTATCTGGCACTCCGCTCCCTGTTGCAAATAATATTTAATGATTAATGTTGTCACGTGCCAGTTTCATTTTTTTACGAACGAACGGAAAGACGGATTACGTATAGTAAGCAAATAATACTTCAAAATAGAAATGAACAGTGCATTATTTGGAGCAGAGCGGCTAAGAATCGTCGTCACGTGTCACTGTCACCCTAGCTACACTGTTTGTGTACGTATGGCCGCAGTTGAGGTAGGATATAGAAAAGTGAAAGTTTCGTAGATAAATGGCATCTACAACGAAGGAGGGTGTCAACATAGTGCACCAAAACGCAATATTGTGTGAAACGATCAAGAAAGAACAGCAGTATCAAAAGCTCTACACGAATTATAGCGTGAACCCCTTCAAGAAACGTAGGTTGACTAGTGCTGGACTGCGAATGCGATGCCATGACAATGTCAGAATGTACTAAAGAGTAACGTAATGTAGGTAGTAGGGGAACGCAGGCAGCTCGGCAATCGATGATATGGAAATGCTGTCGTCAGTGGCGCATGTGTAGTCTGTATCTCTTCTAAATAAATAATGTTCTTTGTTGCATGTTATATACGCGAATGGTGAATCAATTAGGAGTAATTAAACGCAATTACGATTTAGATGCAAATTACCATTCCACGTGTGTTATCGTTGGTGGTAGTGCTACTCTAGTAGTAGCTTAATTAGTAGTAATAGTATTAGTAGTGTATGGTATCTACCGGTGTAGCCACTGCGCTCTCTGCTTGTAGCGGGAGTGAAGGGGCGAAAGTGTCTCAGTAGCCATATAAATCGTGAACAGTGAAAGTATTAAACAACAACATATGGTAATAACATTGGTGTATTTCAGTGTACACATTGTCTGGAAAACCGAACTCTGCACATGACTCTGCTGACGGCGAAGAAGATAGTAAGTTGTTACATTTCATGATGGTAGCCTAGCTATATCCTTATAAATCTGCAGTGTACTGTTATGCCCATCAGTCGTTGTCTTCTATTCGTAATTTATATATCTGCAGGGCCTTACATACCATGCAGCTTTCTAACTTTGCATTCGATTTCACAGGTAATTTTTTAGAGACAATTGAGCGGGCACATCAGGAACCAGTGAAGAAGTATAGTAACCCTCAGACTGAAGCTCAGGAAATTGGCTGGACAACGAAACCATTGGTAATGATAAATACCCTAGTAGTGCTGAGAGGGTCTATGTCCCCCAGGGTACTATCGGAGGGTACCCTGGGTACGGTTCGATATATCGGAACGTACCCTGGTACTATCTAATATGCCGGACCGTACCTCGCCTACTCCACTAACGAGTCTATAGGGAGTTGCCTACGCCTATTCCCTAACCCTAACTATATCAGATAGTTACCAGGGTACGTTCCGATATATTGAACCGTACCCCGGGTACCCTCCGATAGTACCCTGGGGAACGTAGACCCTATGAACTCTAGTAGTAGTAATTAGAAAATCAGAGAATTGGGTATCAGTGCATTATGTAGTGTTCACGGTTACATTGTCATTGCTGCATTCAGTAGAAGCAATAACAATTTATCTTAGAATTTATGCAGTTTATGCGTCACAAAGTGAGAGTGGAATAAAGCAAGATTTTAATAAATTTCTTGGATCATTGTGCGATGCTTTCCAGTAATTCAAATTTATATTAGACGAATAATCTTGTGTACATAATTTGTAACTAAATAAATGTTAATGTTGAATTTTTTTCCCTATTAGATTGACACAGACAGGACTGACCGAAGACTCCATTTTCCAAGACATAACTCTGATGTTACAAAATATTGTGCAGCTATGTGGAGGATAAAGGAACAAACGGAAAACATGCAATAACGTGATATCCCATATTGCACATGTTCAATATTACTGCTAATGTATAATATATGTCATGTCTTTTAACAATTACTTATGAAACAATTATTCATATCAAATGGGCATCACTTCCACTTTTATAAAGATTTTCTAGAATATAAACAAGACATTTGCTCTCATTTTAATGTAGCCGTACAATAGGCTTGTCCCGCACAACAACCCCAAGGCAGAACTCTATGGGGGTAGAGCTACTTTGTAGTGAGTGCAGGAACACTCACACATGCATAGTACCAAACTCCACAACAGATGGTTCTCTCGCTCACGCTCAATTCAGAGCTTCGCTTCACTTCGTATCCTGAGTGTACGAAGGGGCACTGCATGCAGTTTGGCATGGTACGCGTAAAAATAAATCAGTGCTGTTCATCATGGTGCCATCTAGTGAGTAATATTTGAAAACACGAACAATAAACTATATTAAATTGTATTAAAATTTATTTAGCAAAACCATTAAAAATACTAACTGCATTCATACCATATACTTTTCCACACTGTTAAACAAAACAACATTTTGTGAGCATTCTAAATAATAAAATATATAAATGTAATAAATTATTTACATATAATCAGAAGTAGATAATAGGGAAGGAGTGTGACTTCAATAAACAAGGGAAATTCGTCATTTACTAGCCTTAGAATACCTACAATTTACTACGCGTAAATCAACCAACTTGAGCTCAAATCGTACACAGTATATTTGCCTAGCATCGTGCGAAATCGTTTCCTCGTATACACCCGCAATCTGGAGATACAGACTAAAACGTACGACACGATTATAATCCATTCTGTTGCCAGCAAACCGAATGTATAAACCGCCTAACTTGAAACAAAAGGCAGCTACTAACGACTCTTGCCCCCTCGGCAATGCGGTGTGGCTCGCTGGGAGATTGGATATCGACGCAACACTCGGCGAGCTAATCTTTTACCTATTTACAGCTGCCTTTTGTTTGAAGTTAGGCGGTTTATACATTCAGTTTGCTGGCAACAGAATGGAGAATAGGCGGTTTATACATTCAGTTTGCTGGCAACAGAATGGAGAATCGTGTCATACGTTTTAGTCTGTATCTCCGGATTGAGGGTGTATACGAGGAAACGATTTCGCACGATGCTAGGCGAATGTACTGTGTAAGATTTGAGCTCAAGTTGGTTGAGTTATGCATAGTAAATCGTAGGTATTCTAAGGCTAGTAAATGACGAATTTCCCTTGTTTATTGAAGTCACACTCCTTCCCGATTATCTACTTCAGATATAATGCGTATTTACATTTCATTTCCTTTATGTCATTTCCGTACAACAGGGTTTAATCTACGACTGCCCTGACCATTACTACATTAATACAATTACCATTACAACAGGGCTGAACCTGTGACTGTGCATATTTGCAGTTCTAATGTTGATGTTGATGGCAGATGTGTCGTCATCACAATAGATGTTGATGGTAGCAGCCATGTCGTCTGCAAGCCTACATGATGGTGGCAGATATTTTGTCGTCACGTGTCCATGTTGATGATGATTGTAGCTATGTCATCGTCTTGCACATTTACAGTACAGCAGGTTTGCATTGCCTCACTCAGTCTTACTGCCAAAATGTGTTTGCACTGCAATGCAAAGATACAAGATTATAGAAACTGAGATGACAAAGGCTCTCCTCATTTGCATAACTTTACTATCCCAGGCATAGGTTATTCTTTGGCTGACCTCCTATGATTACCTACCTTTTACCCAATCACAAAACTGTCTGATTCAGATGACATACTAACAAGAATTCATTTCCATTCATTTTCATCACCTTGTAATTTACTCTTAATTGCAAAAAAAGAAGATTGGGGAAGTAGTGGCATTGGAAGTTGATACTCACCATCATACTATCACGTCGTTTAAGAACTGAAAAATCAACGAGTATTTTCACATTATAATTGTTGTACGTTAGAACAATGAATTGTACAAATAGAGTTCATATGTTAAAACAATGACATAATCGTCATGAGGATTAGATATCGTTTATAGAGTCTCTATATTATACACTCCTGATGATATCAACAACATAATGCACTTACCTGAGTAGGTGTAAGAAGGACAGCAGCAATAGTTCAATCCCTCGAAGCACATGTATACGTTCCCGGAGCTCCCACGCACCTGCGATATGTCTGCAGTTGCTTACAGATGCAAGTATTACACTATTCTCTCCCAAACACTGACTGAACGACTGTTCTCGTAAAATTTCCGCATTCTGAATTTTCGGTCGAGATTTCAGGAGCGATTCAGTGGTGGGCAGATATGCGTTTTGATCACGTGTAGTACATGCATAGATTGATTTGGCTAGGATATTTTGACCGATTTTTGCACGTGACCTTGCAGACTGTGAGACATTGAATAATTTTAGGATGACCTTACAAGCGAAACAGATATTTAATGCACACAATGAGAACAAAACTCATAAGTATAGAGTATAATGGGATCCTCTGGTGACTAACAGAGACATGGCATTACAGAGGACCTCTGGGCACTATCTAGATTTGGTTGGTTTTTACAGCCGGCACGTGTAAAGAATAGGCATCACTTACCTCGTACAGACACCTGGAACTGGGAGACACAAGGCGCGTGACACTTTTGCTATCCACAAGACTCAGGGCTGGCAGCAGAGTTCCTTGAAATACGAACGCTAATCTAGGAGAAACCACATTAGCACACCATTAATCATTGCTAAATCTTCATTAACGTCACGATTCCCAGGCCTTGATATAATACCGTTACCACCCTAACCTGCGAAAGTATATCTATAGCCATTAATAACTGTCGAGTGTGATTTATGTTCGCTTAATCGTTTTCCCAATCGTAACAAAATAATTATGTTATCTTCACTATTCCTTTTTTGTCTTGGTTAGCCATCGATATAACCATTAGATAAGAATGTTTAGACTATTCTAAAACTATCTTACCCAGACAGGACCTCATCTGTCACTGAAATAGAAATAAGTTATAACATAAGCATACAAGATGGGAAACAGTGAACAATTAAATGTCCCTACTGATACATAACTGATCTGTGACTATGCAACTGTGTAACATGTGCAATAAAGACTGACTAATACGTGAATCTCTGACTAATATGACCTAGCTATAACAACCACATCAGGAAATATCACCCGATTTTGTAGGTCAATTAATAGTTGCGATAAATCTCTGTTTATTCGCACTATGTTTTTTGATAACCAGTCCGCTGCATTTTTCAAGCTGTTCCCTGCTGGAGATTTAAGTTGCACATCTCCATCAGAGGAATCCTAGTAACTATCAGAATAACTTGCAGTAAATTGCAACAGAGTGGTTGTTGAAATCATCGCATTAGTCAAGGTAAGGATTTATGAAGAAACTTGGCTCAAACAACTAATATCGACCACAGGACGTACACGTAGAATACTTCTGGAAGCATTTAGCCACTTCCTGTAGTAGCTGGTCCACCACATCTTCCATTATGAGTGTGCGAATACGGTCAATCGTCGCTGCATGACCCGTCTTCTTCCTCTACTGCATGACTTCTTTGTGTCCAGGGAAGCTGGTTTCTGACCCTATATAATAACATGATTACTGCTATCTGTTGATATGCTACGTATCTCTAGGCTACGCAGTCCTTTACTCTGCCACGGGCACATGTGACAGAGTGAAGGGCTGCATATAGGTAAACCTCCTTACCTACCTCCTAGCTCTACCTCTACAACCTCAATCCCTCTGCATTATGGAGCAATGAATAGTGAATAGCAATAGCTTCCATTGCTCCACAATTCGTTACCGTGCCGTATCCGCATCTCCCCGTGTTGTCCCTGGCTCCGCCACAGCGAAGCTAAGGGTATAGGAACTAAGGAAGAGTTAATTAGCAAGATCTAGTGGCCCCTAGGGCTAGAATAAACGTCAACAATATACCAATAAAATGGCAATATACGGTAAACGTAGGCGGCATGATGATGATACAGTGACAGAACAGTGCAAACATTGTGTCATTGTGACTGAAAAATACAAGGTACTGCTTATCTACGCTGCCACCACCTACTCTACAACTACTGCCGATCTATATAAGTTCGTATAAATCTGCAATTTTACCGTTAATCTAGTAAATATTACCAAAATAATAACAATAGCTGACGTACCGTTTATGCATAGCGACAGTTTTACTACAATTTAATATCGCCGCGTAGCGCCCTCTCTCGGTAATCTTTTACAAAATAATCTTTTTGACATTACAAGTACAACATACGTGCGCGCGCGTCTCACTCTGTGTGTGTGTGTGTGTGTGTGTGTGTGTGTGTGGCGTGTCGTGCGTCGTGCGTGGTGCGGGTGCGTGTGCGTGCGTGCGTCTGCGTGTCGTGCGTGCGTGCCAAAAGTGCGTGCGGTCGCGTGCGGGGCGTGCGTGCGTGCGTGTGTGTGTGTGTTGTGTGTGTGTGTGTCGCGCGGTGTGCATATATATGATGCCAGTGTAATGTGTATTGGTGTAGCAGTGGGATAAACGCTACAGGCATTAAACCTGTAATATGTCATATATTACAGTAGTATAAGGATGAACACTAGCTCGACAAGCCTGTCAGACCATGGGGAGACTAATGTCTGCCTTTCGATCTATCATCGCTTTTTGGAGAAAGAAGCAAACCAATCAAGTCCAGGGCCGGCGGAAACAAATAAACATTGGTCAGGCCATTTAGCATCAATAACAGATTGCTAGCTCTAGTACTATAGCCCGCGGATCGCTGCCGCAGGCGAGTTCTAGGGGGGGGGGTCCCTCGTCAAAGGGGGTTTGGGGGTCCTCCCCCAAGAAATTAAAAAAATTTAAGACACTAAGATGCCTTTTTAGAGCTTAAAAATACTTTTCAAAACTCAAACAAATATATATTTATACTTCAGTATAGGCCTAATTATTTCGGCATCTGCCAATTTACATGTCAAATTTAATGCGTGTGCACGTACACGTGCGGGCATGCGTGTGCAGTTACACGCAGTGGCGTACGCAGGATTTTCGAAAGGGGGTGTTAGGAGCACGCGAAGGGGTCTGGGGGGCTCTCTGCGGGAATTTTTGAAAATTAGCACTCCTCAGATGCGTTTTCTGCGCGAGCAGGGGGGGGGTCCGGACCCCCTGGACCCCCCTGTACACGCCCCTGGAAACTGTAGACTCTGATACCGTGTGCGCTTGCACTGACGGGTGGGTTCCGGGGGTTAGATTCATGATTCATCAAGCTGCGTACGCAAAATATTTTGCGTAAATCTTGTGTGCGTACGCAATCGACGTTTGCTCAGTTGCGATTTATCAACGGCAGTTATTTAGTAAATTTTGCGTACGATTTCGCCGTACGCAAGCGAGGCCATTTTAGGTGCGATTCATCAAGCTAAAATTTACGTAAACCTTTGCGTAGGGAGTGTGTATGTGTCAGAGAGAGAGAGGTGTGCGTGCGTGCGTGCGTGCGTGCGTGCGCGTGTGTGTGTGTGTGTGTGTGTGTGTGTGTGTGTGTGTGTGTGTGTGTGTGTGTGTATGTTGTGTGTGTGTGTGTGTGTGTGTGTGTGTGGTGTGTGGTGTGTGTGTGTGTGAGGAGAGAAGGGGTGTGCGTGTTTTGTGTTGTGTAGTGTGACAGAGAGGAGAGAGAGAGAGAGAGAGAGAGAGAGAGAGAGAGAGAGAGAGAGAGAGAGAGAGAGAGAGAGAGAGAGAGAGAGAGAGAGAGAGAGGGAGCGAGAGAGAGAGAGAGAGAGAGAGAGAGAATTGTTGGCGCGAGAACTGACCCTTCTACTTCTCATTTCAGGCACTCTTGTGCTGACGACGCGTACTTGGTACCGCATCCAATCTACAATAGAGTGACCAGTGTAGCCCTCGCAGAGGGTCCTTACTTGTACTGGAGAGTGGGCAAACAGTCATGGGAGTATGTCAATTCAATTTGGCAGAAAAAAAATGTAAAATTCTTCGCCATACTCGCTCGCAAATTAGCCCTTGGATTTTACTTATCGTTGTATCGTAAATATCTATCTCTTACCCCTACTACTAATATTTGGGTGTTATTATTAGTAACGATCTTTCGCTGAATTGGCCACACATTGACTACATTTGTTAAGAAAGCGTCGCCGATCTTCGGATGTCATACGGACCGATCATCTCTAGCTTTGACGCACCTCTAAAACCGAGATAGCCAATTCACCTCTAGTGTCAAAACTATGGTATCTAGGCATATTAGAACTAGTGCTTCGCCAGCCTGGTAGCCCCTATAGACTTCAAGAACTAGCTCTAGATTAGACACCATTCAGCCATAAAAGCTCGTGAGCGAAGTCATAGTGAGTACTCCAGAAAGCTATGATGATAGTATGATGTTGTCCTGGCTCGTCTTGAATGCCTCCCTTTCGTGTCCGCATTTCCTCACATCAAACTCATAACTTTCTAGTAAAATATTATCAGTGGTGAGATTGAAAATTGGGCATTCCTTCTGGCTTTAATGAAAGCCTGTCGCTGCACCGCGCTCATCTGAGCGTCGATCACTGTTTCGGCATGTGACAAACGTTCTAAGGATCCTTTAAGTTTAGCCGTTCTTTGTCTCTGTGATTCGGTTATTGGAATTCACGTGCCTTCATTCCTTTGGTAAATAGCAAATTCACAAAGCTTTTTCGCGCTGCGATCCGACAGTGAGGTATCTACGACTTGATCCACGTTTCTCACCATCTTCGTTATAGTCTCCAGGACTTTTGGAAGATATCTATCACTTATGAGGTTATGAGAGCAGAGAGAGAGAGGAGAGAGAGATGAGAGAGAAGAGAGAGAGAGAGAGAGAGAAAGTAAAGAGGCGCGCAGAGAAACATAGAGGTGTGTGCGCGCAGCGCGCGCCACGGGGGGCGCGTGTGTGTGTGTGTCGTGTGTGTGTGTGTGTGTGTGTGTGTGAGAGGAGAGAGAGAGAGAGAGAGAGGAGAGAGAGAGTTGTGCGTGATTGTGCTGTGCGCTGTGCATGTGTGTGTGTGTGTGGTGTGTGTGTTGTGTGTGTGTGTGTGTGGTGCCGTCGCGTGCGCAGGCCGAGGTGCGCAGGCGGTGGCGGTGCGTGCGCTGGTAGCGTGCGCTGAGAGAGAGAGAGAGAGAAGAGGTGTGCGTGTTTGTGCTGTGTGTGTTTGTTTTAGTGACAATCCAAGTTTACTTTATCCATACTACGTACACTACAGGAGCAGTCGACAAAAACGTGAATAGGCCTACACTAGCTATTATAGAATAAGCTCGTTTGATAGCCTAGAGTAGATGCAGTAAAATCGGTGAAAGTTTCTGAAATTAGCGATGTAACAAAATCAAGTCTATGAACATAATATGTGTTGCGTGGATCCAATTCTGCCCAAGATCTATACGAATCTGCCGACTGTGTGGCAGCTCATTGAACTGTTAAGGACTAAAACCCACGCTGATAAAAAAGCCTGTCCTGGTAAATCGGGATCCTCTGTACCACCTCCCTTCTTTGCATTTTTTTCTTCTTTTTTGAAATCTCAGGAGAATATTTGTTCAAGAGCGGGGGGATGCATCCCCGCCTCCCCGGGATTTAACGGGGCCGGTTAGTGATGGCGGAGCGCTGCGCATAGCGGCAGCCGGCATAGCGTAGTGGCAGGCGCGTAGCGTGCAAGCGGAGCGAGCGGGGACGCGGGTGGCTGCGAGGGGACCCCCCCTCATGTTTGAAGAAAAATGAAAATAACGCTAAAAATACCGCATTTCCTTGCCATTTTTTCTGGTATTATAATATTTTACTTGTTGTTGTTCAATTAAAATATCGAATGGATTTTTGGCAGAAAGAAAAAATTTGTCATCATACATTCCTTGTACTCACATCATTTATTGGCTAATAAGGCGCGACCCAAAAAATTTCCTTTGTTGCGGGTCACCCGCGCTCTTCGCTTTGTTGTTGTTTGTCTGGTGGCTTGCCGGCACACTTCAGCCACAAGTTGTCCACGAGAGCAACACATTACAAAATTCCCTGATTAAACAGTATGGATTACAGTATGAGAGCGAAGATACTTATAGTAACGACATCGCGATTCGGCGAGCATGCCAGCAGATCGCCTTTTGGGGTTCTCTATGCTCATTTAATTGACAACACTCGCCTTACCTGGCGTTATAGGCTAACCTTGTTCTTACAGCTCGGGAGGGGGTGTTTACAAATACGAACTTATAACAGGATAATAGGGCCTTCTGCTGTTCTCTCTTTACCTTTTCCATTCTTTCTCTCTTTCCTCTCACTGCACACACATCTCATCTCTTTCTGCTCTCTCTCTCTCGCGCTGCTCTCCCTTTTCTCCTCTCGGCTCTTCTTTTCTTTTTTAAAAATGTTTGTTGGACAGAGGGCATAAGGGGTGTTTTAAGCCGCCCTAACCCCCCCCCCCCCCCTTGCGTACGCCACTGGGTACACGTGTATGCATCGAGTGCGTTGGTAGCGTAGGCGTGCGTGTGTGTACAGGTAAGACGTGCGTGGCGTGCGTGTGCAGCGTACACTCTGCTGTGCATGCATGCGTGCGTGCGTGTGTACGTGCGTGTGTGGGCGTGTGCCACGTAATATCGTGCGTTGCGTGCGCGTACACGTGCGTGGCGTATCAAGTAACACGTGCCGTGGCGTGTGTACGTTACACGTGCTATTCGTGCGTGGCGTACACGTGCATTGCGTCGGCGTGCGTGTGCAGCTTAGCACGTGCGTCGTTGCGTGTGCACGTACACGTGCGTGCGTGCGTGCGTGCGTGCGTGTGAACTTACAGGTGCGTGCATGCGTGCGTGCGTGCGAGTGTGTGCACGTACACGTGCGTGCGTGTGTGCGCGCGTGTGCCGGTACACGTGCGTGCGTGCGTGCGTGTGAACGTACACGTGCGTGCCTGCGTGCGGGTGTGAGTGCGTGCGTGTTCACGTACACGTGCGTGCATGCATGTGCACGTAGACGTGCGTGCGTGCGTGCGTGTGCACGTACACGTGCGTGCATGAGCGTGTGCGTGCGTGTGTACGTACACGTGCGTGCGTACGTACACGTGCGTGCGTGCGTGCGTGTGCTTGTATCGAACAATATCACGCATCTGCTTGCTGCCAACCGTTAAACTGCGCATGTGCGCATATGACGTCAATGTTTATAAACATAAAAACAACGTCATGTAGTAGTATAATATATGCGTGTATACATAAACTATATGTGATTTCAGATCATTATATGGTCGGGATTGCAATAATTGTAGATCGGGCCTGTGCATAACGAAAATGTGTGCTTGAAAAAAATAATGATCGGAAAAATTATTGGTCCGGTCCGCCGGCCCTGAAGTCACAAATAAAACAAAAAGCTCGCAAATTTGTAATACAGTCTTTATTATATACCGTCCAATTCCAACAGCCAATTAAAAATCGACAGCCGATTCACACGCATACACACACGTACTGACTCCCGCTAACACGCACCTCCAAACACACAAACATGCACGCACACGCACACAGGCAGTCACACATGCACGTACGCATGCGCGTACGTGTACAATCACCAGCACGCGCTCTTCATCTAAAAATGATACTTGAATTCAAAATCATTCGGCTCTGGACAAGAATCTCACGACTTGTAATTACACATTAGCATGGCAAGAGAGCACCTGACACACGCTTTCCCACAATTTTCACTGTCGTTACCCCATATAGCAGTTTCGCACAAAACGCCAGTCTATCGGTATGAAGTGAAGGTAAACACACACGTAACTAGGAGTAAATGAACATTTCACTCGTTCATTTAACCCTGACACAACCTTGAGTAGTCCGGTATGTATAGAGGACACTGGTGTGGTGTATGTTTGACCTGAGCAAGCTAGCGGCCAATGTCACTGCCACAATGTCGCGTGGAGCATCTCAAACAACAGAACATCAGATATACAACCTCACGGCAACCTTCGCCTCCCTCCCATCACGCGACATGTCAAACTTTCGCTCATTGACGTCGAGCGCCAGAGTAAAACAGCAGCAGCAGCAGCTTGCAGCGTTGCATTGTCGTAAAAATATAGCATCAATAGAAAACCTTCACACAAAATAATAATTTCACCCGGTGAGGGACATTCGACATATCCCCATGTTATACCTGTGCACAAATCTCCCGTACAACCACATCCACACTCACAGTATACCTCTAATACACAATATATGCTGCAAACAAACCGCACCTTCACTCACACCACTCGCTCACTCAACAACAACAAAATATGAAAGATATGCAGTCTTAGAATTCGACTTTCGAAAAAATCGCAGAATTTAGCAAACGACCTCAAGTTATGCGGAACTTTACCAAAGCCTAACTTCGATGTGCACTTATAACGCTGAATTTTGTTAAGGAGTCAGTACAGCTTAACTACCACAGTGTTGTACTCTGCTCTAAATCAGAGCAAGCTGCTAGCTAATGGATCAACATTCCTACCACCTTTAATAAGTAGTAAATGAATCTGACCAAAGGCTTCAGAAACCTTTCTGTATATCAGTGCAAACAAATATCAATGTTATGAATGAAACTTCATCAATCACACAGCAGAGTTAAAAAACTGCGTAAATGAGCCAGGTTAAAACATCTGCTATACTCCCACCCCTAACACACACGTCTACACATGCACGCACACAAAATATAGAAAAACTTCCATTTCGCTAACATGAAAGCCCAGAGAGGGACTACGTCTACATGACATTGTGTGTCATTATAATTGCATACTACTACTCATAGAGATTAATAACAGTCCGTTTAATTACAAAATTCGAGGAAACCACAAAGAAAACATCAGTTATACAACTGTCATTCAGTTTCACACACATGCACGCACAATCCTATGTATGCACGCACACACACACACACACACACACAGACACACACACACATACACGCACACGCACACACGCACACATACATGCGCACATGCACACGCACGCGCACGCACACGCACGCACACGCACACGCACGCACATACACACGCATGTCAGTATTCATGCATCACATCAGCTGTGATAATAGGTCAGGTGACATCATCATCGTTCATACTCTGTTCTCCTCGCGACTCAAACCCTGCACCAAGATGTCCACTCGTCGGAATGTGAAGCTGCTGCTCCTGTAAAAATCACAATATGACAGAACGTTAATTACCATAAATCGCGTGAAATCAATAGTCAATAAACGCTACGTTTAAACTTATACAGCAACATAACTCTTCCACTTTATGTTGATCATATTATTTCGAAAGGACTATTCCTATGCTTCACACACGCACGCACGCATGCACACACACACACACATACGTAAATACATATTGAACATAGTATTAGGAGCCTTACCACTTATTTTTTATTATAATTTTACTGATTGAATAGGGAGACAGATCTTACATGAGAAGTTCTGACAGGGGACGGTGACAATGTCCACTCTTGCGTGTGTGACTGTGGAGAATCGAACGAACTCGCCTGCGTAGGTGAAAATCCATTCATGCTCTGTATGTGCGACCGATCCTGCTGCTGTGGAGTCTCAAATGGATTCCTACATCAATCAATGATTCATACAGGGTTAAATAACGATGGCTACTTTGCCACTCTCTCTCTCTCTCTCTCTCTCATCGGTCTCGCTCTCGCTCCGCTCTCGCTCTCGCTCTCGCTCTCCGCTCTCGCTCCGGCTCTCTCTGCTCTCTCTCTTCTCTCTCTCTCCGTCTCTCTCTCTCTCTCTCTCTTCTCTCTCTCTCTCTCTCTCTCTCTCTCTCTCGCTCTCTCTCTCTCTCTCTCTCTCTCTCTTCTCTCTCTCTCTGTCTCTCTCTCTCTCTCTCTCTCTCTCTCGCTCGCTCTTTCATCTTCTTCTCTACCTCTCTCTCTCTCTCTCTCTCTCTCTCTCTCTCTCTCTCACCTATCAGGATGTCTGTGCTCTTCTGTGTGCAGTGTATGCTGCTCACCACCTGGTGACAAGGAGCTGAGTTGTTGTGTAACCCCTAGCATTCCATCTTCCTCCACACTAACTATCACCCAGATCACCTCTGCAATACAAATAAACACAGGTGCCGCTGTCAATAACCATCTAACGCAGTGCCACTGGTAGTCAATCAGTTATTAAACGCAAGTTATAAATGGTCATCGTTAAGTTTACAGCTCAATGGCATTAGCACTCATCACTCGTTGAACACTCAAACCGCCCTGCACGCCTTGAGTTATATGAAACGCAGGGTTTCTTCTGAGGGAAAATTAGACAAAGAAGGTAATGTCCAGTTTGGGGATAAAATGCACGTGATGGATTCAAAGGTGTGCTGTAGGCACGCATGCGGACGCTGCAGGTGGGCGCAGGGGGAGAGAGGGGGATCTGGGGGATTTCCCCCAGCAACATTTAAAAAAATTGAATGTCTTAGACTGCATTTGAGGCACCCTGAAGCATTTTCACAATAGCGATGTTAAATTAGACAACGGCGGTGCACCACTATGCCTCTTATGTATAAGAAACCCTGGAACGTTGAACGTTGTGCGTTCTGTACACGTCTTGCCCCCGTGTGTGACAATGTCATTACCACAATTGGTTCACCTAAGGGATAATGACATTATTTTGGGGTGAATGAAACTCACCAAAGTAAGGAAAATTAATCGCGGGTGAACGAAATTTTGCGATAAAGACTCCAGGGTGAATGATACTGAAATACAGTACACAATCTATTATCCGAAATTCTGGAAACCAAAAAGCTCCAAAAACCGAAAGTTTTTTCGTGGAGGTCGACTGCACATCTAAGCTCGCGCTTGGTGCCAAAACTCGACCCGACAAATATGAATGTGTTTGGCATTACTGATACATACTGTACTGTACCGGTACAGCACTTGGCCTCTTGAAAACTTGGGTTTTAGTAGTGGCTCGTTGCAGGATATACGGTATGTATATCTCTACTGTTAGCCTACTGTACTACCATTGCGAAATTCAGAAAAATTTCGAATTTAGAAACGTATCTGGTCCCAAGTGTTTTGGTTAATAGATTGTGTACTGTAGTTTGAGAAGCACTGCCGGCACACGCTTCGCACTCACCTCCAAAAAACATTCCCGTGGGAGAGCTCATGCGCCACTGCCCCTGGTAGATGCCGGGCTGTGCAGGACTCACCATCTCGACGCTGACGTCGGCGCACTGTTGGGGAGCGAGCGGGCCGACCATCGTGCGATCGCGTGACCCCAACTGCTCACCCTGAGTGTAGCGGAGGCAACAACCCGGCGGCCACGACTCGCTACCTGCAACGCGCGACACAGCCATGTTACTGTGGTTACTGTGTAACAATATATGTTATATCAGGAGTGAATAATAATAGATTCTATATTGTCTATTATCTCTACATAGTCTATTATTATTCACTCCTGAAAATATTACCAACAGTTAAGCAAACAAACATACGAGCATGCCATTCAAGCGCCATCTGTAGGTAGGAAAGATAAGCTTTAGGTATAAAAGGTTCAGCCACGTATCGGAAGTGCTCTCACAAGTGGCTAAGTAATAAAGCTACCACACCTAGGCCATCCTTAAAAAATTCTATGTTTGCTGTCCCCTGACCCATGATTTTTGTAGTGGGTAGGTAGGTAGGTCTTTTTTGTGAGGCATAATAGTTATTTTAAGTCTGTCCTCATGTTTGCCACACATGCTTTGTGTTTCAGTCTTAACTATGAGGAATGTAAAAAAAAACTTTTGGGTCACGGCTATTTTCGTGGGTCGGTCGGAGGACAGCAAACATATAATTTTTTAAGGATGACCCTATGCATAGTGTTCCTGTTTCATTTACATGAGTTTGTTAGTTACAGTTACTACTGTTATTCACGCCCTTGGTTTAATTAAATTATTAATACACAGCTTTATTATTAGAAATGCTCGTACCTGTATTCTTTATGCGCCAGGTTTTTAGAAAACCCGTATTTGGTGGAACAGCCTCCCCTTCTCCTATCGTGACATCGCTAATGAATGCCATTCCTGGAAGCTTCAGCTTTGGCATCTCAAAATCGTAGTAAGCACATATTGCTGCCTGTAGATTCCTGTGATAATATGCAGACATTATCTACATAAAGTATCATCTTCAATTCGACTCAGTTCCTGGCTTGTACCTTAGAATTGACTTACAATGCTTAAAACACATTTCATACAGATACATAATATACAAATTTGCTTTATAGATTAACATTACGAACAAAATTCCACTGTGGAACAGCGGCTTATCATTATTAAGTAATATCGACACCATTATTTAGCAGCAGAGCTAAGTTTAGTAAGTACGCAAACAGTGTGGTTCCATACCAATTGTTCATGTCAAGGAAGAAGGCACATCCTGCAGGATTCAGCTGATGGCCAAGGAGTTTCTGGAACTCTGCGATTAGAACATCTTTGTCGGTTGTTCCAAGCGAGCTAAACTGCTGCAGCAGCTGCTGATCTACGTCCCCATCAACGTCCATCCTCCCGCATCATATCTAATCTTCCTGTAACAGCACATACACACACGTTACCTTCCTAGCCAATGACGAATATATATTGGCATATATAGGACGGCAACAGGATTCCTATTGCTATATGGGTGAAACTAGCTCAATAGTATACATGTACTAGAGTCCCTACATAAAGAGAGTAGCGACATAGGGGGACCGAAAATATGGGATCACGTGACAACAGGCACCATGTTTTAGCCAGCTAGAACAGCCGCGAGCTCGATCGTCCCTGTAATTTTGCAGTGAATCGATTTGTGAGCAAGAAAAAAAGGACAAAATGCCTGGTTGTTGTGCCTTTGCCTGCAGCAATAGAGGCGAGAAAGGGTACAAAATGTATAAGTTCCCTGCCGATCCGAAAAGACGAAAGATTTGGGATAATAAAGTGAATAGATTAGGATGGAAACCGACTTCGGGTTCATTTCTGTGCCAAGTAAGCAGCACTCAAACTATAGCGAGTAGTATTAGTAATAGTATTAGAGAGTAGTAGTAGTAGTAGTAGACTTCGGGTTCATTTCTGTGCCAAGTAAGCAGCACTCAAACTATAGCGAGTAGTATCAGTAATAGTATTAGAGAGTAGTAGTAGTAGTACTAGTACTAGAGAGTAGTAGTAGTACTAGTACTAGAGAGTAATAGTAGTACTAATACTAGTACTAGAGAGTAGTATTAGTACTAGTACTAGAGGCTATAGCTCTACAGTTGCCGCGTACAGTTGTCGCAGGCAGCGAGCAGATAGACTGGTCCGCGCTCAACAGTTCCACTCGCATTACACTGACGTCACGTGGAACTGTCGAGCGCGGACCCGTCTAATAGTAGTAATACAAAGATAACGGCTGCCTTGGAACGTCTAGGTTTTTCATCTTTATTTCTTTTCAATAACATCGTACTTTAATTCACAGGTGCCTTTCTGTTTATAGAAACATTTATAAATATGATTGTGCTAATTTGGGATATTGTGCAATGTTTGTGTTAATGCAGAAAGTAAAAACGCAAGACCTAATTTGCGTACAGTATAACTAGTATCTGCTAGTATCCGCGGCCGCACGCGCGGTCCATTGGCTAAAACATGGCGCCTGTGCTGAAGTTGTCGCTACTCTCTTTATGTAGGTACTCTAGTATGTACTACCCCACACCTACTGTGACAGGGGTCTACATCATTACCAAAATTTTACTTGTGGTAACACCAATTCAGTACTCCCCGCAATTATTTAATAGTAGGTCTCAGGGGAGAGATAGTGAATATAGAAATAAGTTGTGGATATAGAAATCAGTTAACCCTAACCCTAACCCTATCTCTAATTCTAAAATAAAACAAAATTAGCCAAAAATAATTAATAAAATAAATAAGAGACAAAATTAGCCAATCAGAGCCGTCCCCTAGCGGATCACTATCTCTCCCCTGTGCAAAATTCATTATTTAATAAAAACAAGCTTTACATCTCAGGAATTGCATATTAATTTCAGTATTGAGACATTAACCTTTGCTAAAAACCAAATTCTAACTTATCGACATAACTCGCTTTGTAATGTAAATGTTACGACTTCATAATACAGTTAGTTAATAACAGCTTTGAAAGATGGACCATGGACTTGAGCACCTAGGACTATTATGCTATACTACCAATCCTTATAGATGAATAACATTTGGCTGTATTATTGCTTCTCAGCCTAGGCTGCATAATGTGTGTATAATATTAATAATATAGGCTATAGCCGTAGGTCATTTGATTGGATTTACACGCCAACATGGCACTGTTAGTGTTACTGTTAGTGACTGTGAGGTACTACATCGGGCACGTTACATAGTACTAGTACTATGTAATGTATAATATGTAATGTATATATATATATATTATCGCAGTGGCTGGAGGTAAGGTAGCCTTCGTTCGTTGAAGCCCCTTTTTGGCGTTAGGGTTAGGGTTAGGGTTCTAGCTCATCTAAACTCTCAAATCGTGAATTTATTTCCCAAGGCGTTATTTCGAAATCTGGCGCCACCGCCGCCATCTTTGTCTCGTTAAGTATGAAAGCGAATGAACTCCCGTACCCGTAGCTTCGAGACATTAAGATACGGCTACCGTACCCGTAGCCACTGCCATATATTATGGCTAATGCATGTATAATTTTGTAATAGTAGTACTAGTAGTATAGTCCGCAAATGCAGACGTAAACTCCGCTTTGCTAATCTGAGGGTGCGGGTTTATCCATGCTTATTATCCTTTGCCCATTACTGGGGTCTGCGTCGGCTCGGACTACTAGTAGTAGTACTCGTTGTAAATTCGCAATGTGACAGTGACACAGCAGTCAGCACTCTACTAGTAGCTATTACGTATTACTATTAGTACTATTAATATTAGTATTACTAATACTAATAGCTCTTAGTCTAGTACTATAGCCTGCTTACATTAGCTGCCGCCAGCGGCAGTTAATGTAAGCGGGCTATAGTACTAGAGAGCTATATTACTAAATACCAAAGATCGTAGAGTGAACGGGGATGGGAAAGAGAGCCTACGGCACTCTAGGATCTTTGCTAAATACTATTACTATTACTATTATTAGTATTACTATTATTAGTATTACTATTCTACTACTCAGTACTAGTAGTAGTACTAGTACTACTACTACTACTAGTACTATCACTATTGTATTGGCATTGCATTATATTTTGTCATGTTATGATCTGAGATGAGTTGGCTGGCTGTTCAGAGTGTATAAACTGAACGTAATGAATTAAACTTGCCGGAGACTGTTCCGATGATATATTTGATCTTTTAAAAACAATGGAAACAAAACAGAGAAGCAAGAAAACACTACACAATCACCACTTCCGGTTAAACACCATTGGTGACCTCGTGACCTATCGCCGACTCGGAAGAAAACTGGGTAACCAAGTGAACGTCGTAAATTGGTCGTTTACCCGCAAATCTTTCAAAATGATAACGAACAGTCCACAAAAACACAACATTTGATTAAATTTGTCGTGCAGTATACCCGAGGTAAGACGTTTCCACTTATTATTTATATTACGTAGCATTATTAAATGATAAATCTACAGTTAAAGACGGCTAAAGTGCACAGACTTTCCTTATATCAAGGAGCCTCTTTAGCCCAGTGCCGTGGTAGGCATCATGCACTGTCCACTGAATGCTGCGAGTTCAAACCCTAGTCGGGGCAGTGAATTTTCTCAAGGTGTAAAAACCTGGCTCTCAACATTGGAGACTGTGAATCTCCCGTGGCTCGGATGACCACGTAAAATGGCGGTCTCGTCTCCAGAAATACTAACCAATGTGGACGTAAAAGAACCACTGAGGGCGAAAAAAGAACGCAGTGGCTGGAGGTACGGTAGCCGTCGGTCGTTCAAGCCCCTTTTTTGCGTTAGGGTTAGGGTTAGGGTTAGGATTAGGGTTAGGTTTAGGGTTATGGTTAGGGTTAGGTTTAGGGTTAGGGTTAGGGTTCTAGCTCATCTAAACTCTCAAATCGTGAATTTATTTCCCAAGGCGTTATTTCGAAATTTAGCGCCACCGCCGCCATCTTTGTCTCGTTAAGTATGAAAGCGAATGGACTCCCGTACCCGTAGCCTCGAGACATTAAGATACGGCTACCGTACCCGTAGCCACTGCCAAAAAAGAACTCTGGCGGTGACCACCCTCAGTGCCATTTGGCTAAAAGGCTGACTACCTGAACTGACCGTTGAATAAGAATAATAAGAAGACTAAGACGGATTAAGAAGAAGAAAAGGAATAAGAATAAGAAATAAAGAAAAAGGAATAAGAAAAAGAAAAAAAGGAATAGGAATAAGAAATAAGAAGAAGGAATAAAAATAAGAAATAAGAAGGAATAGGAATAAGAAATAAGAAGAAGGAATAGTTGGAATAAGAAATAAAAAAGAAGAAGTAATAAGAAATAAGAAGAAGGAATAAGAAGAATAAGAATAAATTCCCCGCACATTCCAAAGAGAGAACCAGTGCTTTGTGAAATACAAGAGAGGGACCCCAAGATACAAGATACAAGATACAAGGAATGATGCAATCACTTTGTGATACCTAAGGAGTAAGCTAAGGTGCCTAAAGTGGATTTGCACCCTGACACTGTTATGTAGACTGTAGTGTAGTCTGTAATAAAGCCTGTATCACTGACGACTGATGTATAATGTCATAAAGTATGGTCATTAAAAAGTTCTAAGAATGTAATTGTAACATAACAATATTAATATGCGTATACAGTACATAACTCCTATGCATTTTAGTTTTACGTGTTTCGTACAGACTACAGTTCCACGCATAAAGGTCAAGTTGGGGAGCTTCTGGAATACTACGGTACTCCTGCTAGCACGTGCTCTCTGAGTGTCTTGCATAAATGGACAAGTAGCAGAATTACAGATCGACCAACATGACAGTGGCTGTACTGACTAACCTTATGATTTTAAATTCCTTCTACAGTATAGGGCACAGACACAGTACATATTAGTGATCACTGTACACCATGCCAACTAACATGCCTGCCATGCAAGGCAGTGCTTGGCTGACACAGCCAATCAAAGACCTTGTGAAAAATTGGAAAGTTGATATTGCAAGCTTTCTTGAGGACTATGTTCATGAGGTAAACTTCATTATATGACAGCATCACAGCTATAGTGGTTTCTAGGTAATGGGTTAACTATTCCACTGATTTAGCAATAAATTAAAAAAACACGATCTACAACAATAATAATAATATAAATAATTTATCATCTCACTCCTGATGATAATATAAGTGTTAATATTATATTATATTATATTAATATTATATAATATATATAATATATTATAAAGTGTTTATAATATAATATAAATAAAGCATTAAACTTATCAATTACAAGCATTAAAGAGCTGACCCTATATTTTATCACCAGATAAATTTGTAGGTATATCATGTATATGTTTCGGTAATTAATCACAGAGTGCGATTTTATGATTACAGATTGAGATGGTGACAATATCATTTGACGGAGGACAGACGAATCTGAACTTTGCCGAGGCAGCTCTAGTTATTCAAGGTTCAGCATGCGTATACAGCAGGAAGGTTAGTCCACATAACCGTATTCAGGGTTTCTTCTGAGGACAAGACAGGAAGTAATGGCCAGTTTGTGAAAAAAAAATGCGCATGATGGATTCAAAGGCGAAGGCATGCATGTGGACACTGCAGGCAGACTGGCATAAATACAGGAACATTTTCATAACGGTGATGTTAAATTTGACAACGGTGGTGCGCCACTGTGCCTCTTATGTATAAGAAACACTGTATTAACTAGCTGCATTTACACAAACGGTGGGTGGTGCCATTGCAGGGCTCAATTTTAATGTGTTTTTTTTGGGTTGTCCAGAGGACAACCAAGAGAGTAGCATATGGTTGTCCCTCAAGAGTTTTGGTAAACTCCGAGAACTTCCGAATGCGCCGATGAGCAGTCACGAACACTGCTGAATGCTACAAACAGACAAAAATGATTTGAGTCGGCTTGGCGTTAGCGAGCTCAGGTTATTGATTTTATAGAGGTCGGACAACCACGGAAGCAATTTCTAGTTGCCCGAGAGAATATCCAGTCGGCACGGACGACTGCAAAAATTGAGCCCTGCCTTGCAACTCCTGTACGGTTATGGTGCTCCCCGACTGTCCTGTGGGAAGGTTGTGTTCCCACCACTTCTGTGCGACAGTGTCCCCCCATAACACTCCTGTTTGTAGTGGTGTTGACGATGATACAGGGGTAGAAATTAACTTTTGAACAAGGGAGTCCAACTCCTCTGAAAAAGAGGGAGTACGCAGCAAAATGAGGAGTCTGTAGTCTGAAGTTCAAAATTAAAGATTTGCCGAAAAAATATGGTAATTCCATGAGGCCGTGCTCTGGAACGAACTAGTTAGTATAGCAGAATTTTCAGGGAGTCACACGGACTCTTGCATATGTCAAATCGGGTAGTCCGGCAGTAAATCGGGGAGTATTTGACTCCGGATTCACGGTAATTTTGCACCCTGATGATGTGTGTTTTATCATAGGTTGAGTACTTGTACACACTCGTCTATCAGATGCTTGACTTGCTAACGACCAGGAAGAAAAAACAGCAGTCGTCTGCGAACTCCGACGGTAACCACGACAACGACGCGTCGCAGCTGGAGACCACTCATCATGATGAGGTAACGCGATAAAAATTCACGCTGGATAAAAATTATTGTAATACTATGTCGTCATGGCAGCACAGTTGTTAGTTTCAATAATTCCATTCTATTATATAATTGTGGAGCGTGTGAAAAGTGAATGGACATATAAGCTGGTATGTGGCTGCGACTGCTAACATTTCGTGCATGTTATTACACTCACATCATGTAGACTACTGACTTGAAGCATCCCTTCTATAATAACATCGTACACTGTGGAAAGAGTTGAGGTATCTTAATGTTAAGTCGGTGTCAACGTAGTCTGTCCTCGTTGCAGTTTCTTTCCTTGGACGACATCCCGGAGAAAGACACGTTAGACATGAAGGAAGATGAGATGACACAGAATGTAAGTTCTAATAGTTTCACTGCACAAGACACTTAAATGACTGACAGAAAATGCATTCATCTAAATAGAATGCATTAATTGTGACCGGTGAATTTTCACATGTACATATATGTCACTCTCGGAAACAACGATCTGATTCGAATCTCTTTTACAGACCGTCCACGTGATATTTAGAACTCCGATTTCTCTCGTACCTCTCGCAGAATCGGAGAAAGGAACTACTCCCTTACTCAGGTATCTGTCTGCTTACGTAGAACCAAGGCTTTACCTCCACTAGTTGCCTCTAGTATAATTTCTGCATAATCTACAGGTTAGGAATTGCCACAGAATGCACACACTGATTTATAAACTCTAAATTAGGGAACATGTTATCTATTTTTTCTGTCACTTCCATGCATGTGTGCGTGCACACGCGTGTATACCTTCATGTGCGTGCGTGCGTGCGTGCGTGCGTGCGTGCGTGCGTGCGTGCGTGCGTGCGTGCGTGCGTGCGTGCGTGCGTGCGTGCGTGTGCGTGCGTGTATACGTTCATGTGTGTGTGTGTGTGTGTGTGTATGCATGTGTGTTGCAGTTCGGCGGGTGAGGTGTTTAGTCTCTATCATCCGTTGTGTGTGTGTGTTTGTGTTGCAGTCCCACGGGTGAGTTCAGAGGTGTTTAGTCTCTATCATACATGTGTGTGTGTGTTGCAGTCCCACGGGTGAGGTGTTTAGTCGCTATCATCCGTGTGTGTGTGTGTTGCAGTCCCACGGGTGAGGTGCTTAGTCTCTATCATCCGTGTGTCTGTATGTTGCAGTCCCACAGGTGAGGTGTTTAGTCTCTATCATCCGTGTGTGTGTTGTGTGTTTGTGTTGCACGTCCCACGGGTGAGGTGTTTAGTCTCTACTCATACATGTGTGTGTGTGTTTGCAGTCCCACGGTGAGGTTTTAGTCTCTATCATCCGTGTGTTTGTATGGTGCAGTCGCCACGGTTGAGATGTTTTAGCTATCATACATGTCATGTTGTGTGTATTATTGGCAGTCCCACGGGTGAGGTGTTTTGTCTTCTATCATACATGTCGTGTGTGTGCTGTGTCGTGTGCGTGCTGCGTGCGTGCGTGCGTGCGTGCGTCGTGCGTGCGTGCGTGCGTGCGTCGTGCGTGCGGCGTGCCGTGCTGTGCGTGCGTGCGTGCGTGCGTCGTGCGTGCCGCTCGTGCGTGCGTGCGGCGTGCGTGTGCGCTGCGCAGTGGCGTGCGTGCGTGTGTGTTGCAGTCCCACGGGTAGTGATGGGAATCGGCTGGAATTTCATAATCGATTATCGGTTCCCTTAACCGATCGATAATCGATTATAATCGGATAATCGCGTTAATAATAGCATAGTTACTTTGTAGCATCTTACTTTGTATATACAATTATACGTACATAGCATTCAATATTATCATGTTTTATGATCATGTATTAACTCTGTGAAGGTTGCTGATGTATATCAATGTCTGTTCCTATACAGTATTTAATCAATTTAAAAAGAAATGGTTTAAATGCCTTTATTAAAACATTAAAAGTTTTAAACAAAATGATCAAGACTTATTCTTTATTATAGTAAGTAAGTTGTTTGTGTTCTAATAGTGTAGGCTGTGTAGCCGAGTTAAGTCCGCCAATGGAATATCCTCTCCAACACATATGTAACAAACAATAACGGAGAGTAAATCTCATCTACGGATAACATCTGGGTGGACAGTGTCAAACCAAAATAAAGACACTGTCAAACTTGTCCCATGTCTATAAGTACACTAGTACAGCTTTGCAATCAGAATGGACCTATGTTACAGTGATTCATGAAGAAAAAATATTAGATTAAAAAAAGAAAAATAAATTTAAAGAGTGAATTCCGTTAATCGATTATTTGTTTTCATGATCGATTATGGAATTTGAGACTATAATCGATCGATTTTCGATTATAATCGTCATCGGGAATCACTACCCACGGTGAGGCGTGTTTAGTCTCTATCATACAATCGTGTGTGTGTGTGTGTGTGTTGCAGTCCACGGGTGAGGTGCTTAGTCTCTATCATCCGTGTGTGTGTTTGTGGTTGCCGATCGCCACGGGTGAGGTGGTTTAGTCTCTATCTATCCGGTGTGTGGTTGTGTTGCAGTCCCACGGGTGAGGTGCTAGGCAACAAGAGTGACTTGCAGCTGAATACGTGTAGCGTGCATCATCAGGGAATCATGCTTACTGCGACGTGACACACCTGCCGCCTTATCGAGACCAAGCCGGAAGAACCGAACCCCGGCGATCTCTTCTCAAACACAAGTAAGCATCCAGGGGTTAGAATTTTTTGCGAATGGGTCAAATTTCAACTCGCAAAATCCAAAACACTCTCGCCATTCTTAATATAATTATTTTGTAGTGTTATAATTATGCTAACACTTTAATTTAAAATGTTTATCTTTTTAGTTACTTTATAAATGTTATATAATGTTGAAATGACTTTATTAAACCAGCTACAAAGCGTGAAGATAGAATACTCACAGTAGCGGGCAACTCGCGCGAGGTTATAATCCTTACATCAGTTTGTAGACTGGTACGTGTGTTTATAATTTTGCAGAAATTAGTTGGTCTAGTTCCGTTATGACTTGTGTGTGACAACTTGTTACTTTTAAAATGCCCTGGATTGGGATGTTGGATTTTGATAGTCATCACAACAGATTATATGTCACTCGCACACAAATGCAAGTGCATATATTTTCTACTCGCAATTTCGGAAATCCACTCGCATGTTTGCGAGTGTGCGGAGCCGTCAATTTCAAACCCTGGCATCCATAGTAGCGTCTCGCAGGTGTTCGGTGACGTGTATACTGTCACCGCTGTACTTGTTGTGCGACGGAAGTGGGCACCGCGTCTTAATTAAAAGTTCTGAGTACTGTTGTTTCTCGCTATGATGTTCTATAATTATTGGTTCCGTCCATTGTTACTCTAGGGGTTGTTACTGTGTTAGTACTTGTTACTTGTTAATAGAGAAATTGCTAAATGTAGGTTATGATAAATAGATAATTTTATGTTAGCACTTTAGTGTCACAGCATGATGGCATACAACATGTTTTGTGGTCCATCTAGTTGCCAGATAACACAGTTAGACTGGCATGTGAGGCGGGAGGCACTGGACGATCTAGACATGAAGATAATGCAAGCCGACGGTAAGTGAATTCATTAACAGTCTTGTTTTGTCCGACATCCGTGCCAATGGCAGGGCCGTCAGGAGCCACATCTATTGAACTCTGAAGCCTTGAATAAAAAAAATATCACCTGGTGCTCATCATATGCGTCATCACAGGCAGCTACAAAAAACCATTGTAATGTTGGATATTCAAAGACGTGACATAGCTACATTAGAAACCTATTTTTTACTTTGACTCATAAGGTGGCGCCACCATGCGTGGGCGACTGCAACGATGACCCTTTTGATGAACGAGACCCAATGGTTGGCAATCTTACGAGACGATGAACAACGTGACCGTGAAGTGGAGCCACCGGTGCAGGTAATTGAGCGCGTTCAGGTGTTTGATCTAGGGAGAGCCACCGTGCAGCGTAATGAGCGTTCAGGTGTTTGATCTAGGCAGAGCCACCGTGCTGCGCGGTAAATGTTTGTTCATCTGTTAGTTTTAACTGTATAGGTAGCACGGTGGCAGGTACTGAGAATTTGCGTATCTTCTATTAAAGTCAAAATCTACTAGGAATTCCTATGAACATTGCATGCAGCAAGCAACGACACGCGGCTTACTGTACGCTGTATATTTCGCGGAGGTTTAATTTTCGGCGGAAATTTTTTGAACGCTAAGCGCCTACCGACGAAAATAACAACACGCAAATAATCCATACCGGAATAATTCAGAAGTTCACCGACTCGCGAAATTAACCATCTTTCGAAATTGTCCATTAAGTCTGAAAAATAAATTAATTCGCGAAAAATATGTGGTACGCAAAAATATGGGAGTATCCAGTATTCAGTGCTCGACACAGCCGTCGCCCGGACACTCAATCGGCGAGCAAAACCCTGCTGCGATGTTAAAAAAATACCAAAACCAAAATATTACAGGCCCAAAATAAAATCTTTGGGCGAGTAGCAATATTCTGTCGGCGTTAACGAGTTCGATATTATCGGGCATACACTGCGGCGGACACGGCTTTCCTATGTACAGGAGATGATGCTGATTTTAAAACTCTGTCGCCGTGTTAAGCCGTGTTCATATGACTGTGCCTCATGCGTTTTGCATGTGGCATGCAAACACGTCGAATTAGTGCCGACCCGGAGACCCGAGGCCACCAAAGTTTTTGGCTTCGCAAACCACCTCTACGAAACTGCCGGTCCTCCCTGACCTGCAACTTTCCCCCTTCATATTACGGCTGAAATACTAACGGTATCGAACGGCCAGTTTTTAGACAGACTGTAAATGGAGGCATTCTAATACGCCTCCTCCGTCCTGAAGTAGACGGGGTATCCAAACAATCCTCCAATCATGTTCGCCACGACGAACAAAACCTCGTGACAGTCTAAGAATCGATTGCAAGCATGTAGCGTACCAGGCTTTTATGACCTGCAAACAATGAAAGTTCATGATGTCGCAGGTGTTATCGTGGGGATGAGGGCACGACCAGTGACCATCTGACACGCACATGAATCAATAGCTGTTTTAAATTAAATTCGTCACTTTTCTTTAGCGTGAAAGTGGACTATTTTACTATCAGTAGATATCTAAAACACTGTAACCTGTAAATATACTTCAAGATTCCTAGGCACTTTGTAACTTTGCGATTGTGCGGTCCAGCATTGATCTGATGCATGGGGTAGCCCATGACTGGGAGGAGAAAAACGAAAGTAAAACCTTTCGCGCAGAAGCTCCCGCCGACATTCTAGAGCTTGAAATAATTATTTGATCCAACTCTATGTTACCATGTATGCTGATTATGCACAATGGTTTATTTTTTTATATACCATTTTGTTACTCCCTGCATAGTAAATAAGCGGCACACCAACTTTGTGCAGGACCACGCGACTTTCTGAAGTTGTGGTCCCTGCTGTCCGGCACTAGATTTTCAGTCAAAATTCGAACCCGGCATGCCAAATGGCTTTGGTCCAATGTGACAAGTTTGTAGGGCCTAAAGTCATGTACCGTGAACGGACATGGTAGAAATACCAAAAATGAAAATTGGCCTACCAACTTTTCATTTTGGCCCAGAAGAAATAATTTGTGGTGGCCCA